GGTTGTTATCAAAATAATATCCTTTAAATTCCGAATAATAAAAAAATTCAGCAGAGTCATGTGGCCTTGTTGAAGATAAAAATATCAAAAAAACAGAACATGTTAATTTATGATGTTTAACCCACTTTTAGTGCGATTCAGTAGTTCTATTAGCTTTAATTCTGTCATAAATCAACTGTTTTAATCTTTATAAAATAAAAGAAACAAAAAAAAAAACGGATAGTGAAGACGTCTTGATTGTTTATGCTGTCCTGTTCTTCTCTCTTGGATATGATGACATTTGCTAGCAGAAATGTCATTATTAATTTCAGGATATTTAGTTATTTGAAAATGTGTGCAAACTAGTTTATTTAAAACAAACATGACAATAAATAAATAAATAAATAAATAAATAAATAAATAAATAAATAAATAAATAAATAAATTAATTAATTAAATAAATAAATAAATAAATAAAAATAATAAAAAATAAAATAAATAAATAAAAAATAAGTAAAAAATAAATAAAACTAAATAAATAAATTAAAATAAATAATAAAAAATAAATAAATAAATAAAAATAAATAAAAAAATAAATAAATAAATAAATAAAAGGCATGTATTTTCTTACCTTAACTCTCATTGGTTACAGGTCAGTACATACTAGTATCACTTTAATGATTTTATCGTTCAACGTGTTTTTAAGTACAATTTCGACATCTGTAAAAATAATGATTTATATATGTTTACTTATAGAGCCTAAATGAAAAATTGAATTGCTTTTATTAACTTATCTGCTAGACATGAATCAATTGCGTGTCTCATGATCTTGTATTTATCTTTTCAATTTAATCTATTTAATAATCATCAATATTCAACACTTCAAAACAGAACTCACCTGCATTTTCAGTAGAATGATTGTATCAATATTTGAATTTTAAATCCTTAACGGTGCTTGCAATATAATACACGGCCTTAATGCCTCCTCTTAAATGCGTAGAACGGGTTGTTACCTAATACACTGAAAACTCTTTCGTGTTAAGTGTTAGAGGTCAAAAACTGAAAAGTTGGATTAAAAAAAAGGCGATCACAAAGAGACGTGGGGACAGTAGTGTCACGACGTGCGTAACAAATATCTAAGAGACGGTTTTCTGTACCACGAAGACAGACATACTTGTAGACAGATACTAATTTCTGAAAAATTGCATTGCTATAACTACCTCTTCGGTTTTGGAAATGCGAATGTATATAGCCATTGGGGTTTAGAAATGCGAATGTGTATAGTCCTTGGGTCTTAGAAATGAGAATGTTTATTGCCATTAGGTTTTGGAAATGCGAATGTTTGCAGCCATTGGTTTCTGGAAATGCGAATGTTTACAGCCCTTCAGTTTTAGAAATGCTAATGCTTATAGCTCTTGGGTTTTGGAAATGCGAATGTTTATAGTCCTTGGGTCTTAGAAATGAGAATGTTTATTGCCATTAGGTTTTGGAAATGCGAATGTTTAAAGCCCTTGTCTTTTGGAAATGCTAATGCTTATAGCTCTTGGGTTTTGGAGATGTTAATGTTGCGATGTAAACATTTGTTATGTGAAAATCATCCATTTTTGTAAGACCAATTTCTTGAAAGAATGAAATAGATAAAATGTATGCAGATAATATTAGTGACGCATCAAAGAGTATATAAGTTTTAAAATGTATTATTGCTTAGTTTTCAACTTTCCAGATGTATGTTCTTCCGTTTTGGAAAACATATAAAGCACACACAAGAGCCATACGGTAGGTCTGACGTATACGCATCAAATTGCACAGAAATGCAGTGTACAATTAATAGTTACATCAGCAAATTTTTAAAAAGAATTTACGAATATAAAATTTATAATTAATATATAAGTCAACTTCGTCACAATGAAAGACATAGATAATACGTTTCAATAAGCCTAAATAGCACTGCGAAGTTTTTTTAGTCTTACAAACATTATAAACATTGATTATGAAGTCATTATTTTGCAAAATAAATATTGCAATATCTAAAATCACACATTTTATTCATTAGTGTATCTCCTTATTGCAATATGTTCTTTAAATAAATCCCAAATGACACCTATGTCAGCTTTATTGGCACATCCTAACAGAATATTTCATTAGGCTTCAGTGTAGGATTAGACCAGTCCATCAGATGATAAAAATTGTGCGAACAATGCGAGGCTTTGCCGAGTACCTGCCTTTTCCATGCCGACTCTAAAGCCCAATGAAGAATGCTTTTCCTCACACTCCTGAACGAAAAGTGGAGATCAAAGTCACAATGATCAATTTAAAAGCTGTTTTGTGAGCTAAACACCCCTTTTCAGCGTATATATATTTGATTGAGGAAGAAACTGCGAAAATTCCGAGATAAGCTGCCTACCCACATGAAGCTACTGGCAAGATTTCTCAAACACCGAAGTTGGACGAGAGAGACTCGAACCCACGCTGTAGAGATGAGTTGTCAGTGATCGGTAAGGTTGCGCTCTACAGTTTCGTTTCCTCACTGGTTATACTAGCTGTTTAAACTTGACGTTGTATATATTAGGTATTGTTCAAAGGACCTTTAATTCCCTTTATTTTGGTGCATGATTGATGGGTTTAATATGGGTTATAGAGTATATGGCTTGACTTTACTACAGATGTATACATTTCAAAAAAGTGCTAGCTCCACTTGCTCATTTCACTTCCTGAGCTTCAAAGGTAATTTGTATTAAAAAAAAGAGCTGATTTTTTTTTACATTTTATATATTTGTGAATTCATTCATTGCACTTTCAGAAGCTGATATTGTATAGTCTGGAAAAATTCATTTTTAATATCTGCTAAGGATAATGTACTTTCGACAAATTCAGGCAGATTTCGGAGCACAAGGGAGTCGTCATTTTGGTTAGCAGTGTGTTAAGATTATTTACAATTTCCAAAAGTACAATATCCAAAGAACTATTAGCCACATTACATGAAAGTATCATAGAGGTAGGCCAACATTCTCTCCATTGTGTATGTTTTAAATGCAAACAACTTCACCTTACATATATCACTCTCTCAAAAGTACATAATAACTTTTGAGCGCCTCCCCCCCCAGGCAAGCGCAGAAGACCACTCAGCTACCATGGCTTCTATAAATGTTGAGAATGAAATAAGTAAGTACTACTCATCGTACCAATTAGGGTAACTACCAAGACAAGTATTTTTTTATCTAACAGCTAGAAACGAGCGATTTTCAAGAAGGCATGGAGAAAACTGTTCTGAGAGCTGTTGAGAATAAACTAAACTTTATTAAGCAATAAAAAATTAATTTGAAGCAATTTCATATTTAAAACTTGTTAACAGCACTCTTTCACCTGACACATATATAAAATTTTACATTTATGAGAAGTTATAAAATGGTCAATTTAATCAATATAATTTAACTTATTTCAATTTTAACATCCAGCTTTTGTAACTTTAATTTTGTTGCACAATATTGATAATCGGGTAGTTGTATTTTATAACAGATTCACACAAATTTGTTTGATTATGTCGCTGAATTATATCTTTGGATTTATTCATACGTGAACTTGTGTGATGATATCGCTGGATACATACGTTCATCAAATAGTGTGATTATATCACTGGATACATCCGTACGTAAATTTGCATGTTTATATCACTAGATACATGCGTACGTTATCTTGTATGATTATATAACTGGAAGCATGCGTGCGTACATTTGTGTGATTATATCACTGGATACATTTGTACGTGAATTTGTGTTATTATATCACTCAATATACGAGTAAGTGATCTTGTGTGATTATATCATTGGATAGAAGCGTACGTGAACTTGTATGATTATATCACTAGATACATGAGTACGTTATCTTGTGTGATTATATAACTGGAAGCATGCGTGCGTGCGTACATTTGTGTGATTATATCACTGTATACATGAGTACGTGATCTAGTGTAATTTTATATCACTGGATACACGCGTACGTAAACTTGTGTGATTATATCTTTTGATACATGCTTACGTAATTTTGTGTAATTATACCACTGGATACATGGGTAAGTGAACCATGTTAGCGACTTCTAAAAAACATTTCGTTTTATGGCCATAAAAATTTACATATGTAAACGGAATGAAATTTTTCCGATATATCTACAATAAAATGAAAATTGAAAATTTTCGAATCTATGTCATATATAAATCTAATCTTGGACATGGTTCACTAACTTCTATATAACGCAGTCACACACATTTAGCCCAAAGTATCTCTTACAGTATTTTTAACGATAAAAGGATTTTTTTTCTCAAGAAGTAACATTTTTAGTAGACACAAAAGCTCTTAAAAGTAATTATTACTCGATCATTTAATTCAGATAAAATATCTTTTACAGGACCTATGTGCGCGTTTTATTTGATCTACATTAAGTATACTTTCATCTGAACTACATTAATATGTATACTTTTAATTTGACCTACAGTAATATGTATACGTTTTAGATCTATATTTCTTATCGGTAATTATAAATTTGAAACAAGAGACTCGTACAAACAAATTTAACAATTAGCCACTCTCCTTATTGCCTCAAAGTATTGGCTCAAAGCAAGACAGTATGCAGAAAAATCATTATTGCACATTTAAGTTGATGATGATACGAGGAAGTTTTGAGTGAGGCACTTATTTAAGAAGTATAGCTTCACCGAATGTTGCTGCTGTTATTTTTGGTTTAAAGCCATTTTCAGCACTTGATAAGAACTATACTTGTCGGCAAGCATAACAGGTGGAGGATGAACCCAGGAAAACCCGGTAAGAACCATCGACCTACGGGAAGCTACTGGCAAATTTTCTCATATAGCCACATTGGCCGAGCCTAAGACATGATGGCGGTAATAAGTGAAAGCGAGCGCATTAGACCACTCGGCTATCCGAATGTCCCAAAATTTCAAGCTAAGCTGCCTTGAAAGTAAACTAAACCGGAAATAGGCTACACAGTTCTTTAAAAGTGAAAACCGTTCCGGTGACTTAGTGGTTAGAGCGTCCGCTTCGGATGCGGGAAGTCGCGGGTTCAAACCACGGCCTAGTCATGCCAAAGACTTTAAAAAATGGTACTATTTGCTGCCTCGCTTGGCGCTCAGTATTAAGAGGGTAGTGTTAGGACTGGTCGGCTTAGTGTCAGGATAATGTTATTGGGTGGGGCATCATGCTACATGTCTGCAGCATGACGCCCCAGTGATAGACATAACTATAAACTACCACAATGCAGACATCATAGACTTATGACTGAAAAATTGTTAAGGCTACGTTAATGTTTATATTGGAGTATTCAAGGAGGGGAGATTACTCTGTATTTAGGCTAATTGTCATATGCATACATAGATGAAACGCTGTCATTCGAAACTGTGTGATAATTCAGTCCAAAGATGAGACTGACATTCGAAACTGTGTGATAATTCAGTCCAAAGATGAGACTGACATTCGAAACTGTGTGATAATTCAGTCCAAAGATGAGATAGTCATTCGAAACTGTGTGATAATTAAATTCAAAGACTAGAAATATTATATTCATCATTGCTTAATTTAAACGATGCAGACTCTGAAAGTTCTTTCAAATCTACAATTTCAGTTACAACATAGTCTGGTTTTTTTTGGTTTTTATTTTCCTACTTATTATATTTTTCTCAAAAGAAAGACCACATTTAAAGTGCACCTACAGTACTTATACAGACCTATCGCCATACTGTTTGACGACAATATCTGCGAGTCCAAGTTTTCATATACACATACTGAGATAAAATGTAAACAAAAATTTCAATCACGAAGAACACCACTTCAGTTCGGGTTGTAAGTGCACGGAATTATAGGATTGCCTAATAAGTCCTCACACTGTATGGACATTGATCGTAAAGTCTCTGCATAGTCCAAGATTAGGATACACTCCTACTTTTGCCCAACCCATGTTTTGTCGACATAGATATTCACATTAGTACAGAACCCGTCTGTTCCATCAGATCTGTTGATACTTCAGTCCGTGTTGTAGGTACACATCAAACTACAAAGCTGTATTATTACAGAAAAATGCCAGTCATCAAGTTCCATGGTATATTTTGGCGAAACTTGTAAACAAACAAAAGTTATTTTTTTAAAAAAATATTCAAGTTAAAACCATATATAAGCTTCCTTTATAAATAGTCGAAAAATAATCATATTTTATTGGATTGTTTTATAAAAACAAGGCAACAACTTGAGAACTCAAGCTTCGGAGATTCCGTCTGGCTGATTATAAAAAAAAAAAAAAAAAAAAAAAAAAAAAAACAAAAAAACAAAAAAACCCAAATATAATCATGATTATTTATACGAAGATGATTAATTTTAAATTTAAGGAATTGAATAGTTGACGTAGATCATGATAAGACGCGAGTCATTCCGAACTATACGTATATGGCTTGACATTAGGGTATTGCTATTAACGAGGGTCTTAAACTATGGGAAATATTTCTTCATTCAGTAATATCAGCGTGCTCAGTTTGATCAGTGTTACAAATCTGCATCCATAGAAATCTCGACGTTAATGACCGAGGTTATCCCTATTATAAATCAATAACTGACGTTCGTTTATTGAAAAGTGGCTTGCTGAAATATTATCACAATCTGTCGATACTTTAACTGATAAATAAAATACTGCAATGCCATTATTACTATTTTTCGATCAATTTTGTAAATAAAATTTATTTTAGCACTTTTTAAAAACTTTTCCTAACTGCATCTAACAAAATTGCCGGTAGATAAAGCTGAGTTTTTTCACGCGTCAATTTGGACATGGTCCGAGGAAGTCACGCGCTGGAAACAGATCTTAGACCTGTGTTTTATAATTATGAATAAATGTCAGAATAAAGTTCCAGTCCTGTGTAACAAAAAACATTCAAAAACGGTTTTGGTGTCGCCTCGTAGAAAGAAGCGGAAAAAAGAACGTATCCATAATTTTAACATACGGACAAAATATGAAACCATTCGATATACTCAGACATATCCTCAGACATGTGTAGATTCCAAACTACAATAAAATCGCACAAATAAATGCAATAAGACTTTTTGAAGATATTTTTTACTTTTATTTTTGTATAGAACATTTATATTCTCTGTAAAACATCAAACAAACTGTAATTTTATAATAGATGTTACAGGAGCTAAAGTGTAAATAAAAATGTAATTATCTTCAAATAAATTAATAACGTCTCTGATTGAATTTTGATTGATTGAAAACAGATGACATTCAAGAACAAAACTGTGTAATGGTCAGACTTGTTTGCCACGTACGTAAAACGCTGGGTATTACATAAACACAATCTGTCTCTACCTAATAGAAGCATGATAATCAATTTCCCTTACATGGATTGAATTTCACAGGGTAGCTATACAACCTTCGCAATTCAGACTTAGTATGATGTCATTTCAAAACAAATTTTTATGAATTGAAGAGTTTTTCAATTTACATTCTTTGTATGGAGAGTCATTGAACAACAGAATACATAAATTGATAATACATTCTTTAAATATTTTTTTAAATTAAAAATCAATTTAGAAAAGATCTATTCATTTATTGCATAATACATGCCTTTAAATATAGTATTTATACTACTTAAACAGCAGCATAAATACAGTATGTTGCAAATTTTCTTTTATATTATACTCATTCAATATTTCTTGATCAATAATGCGTTCTCTGGAAAGATTTGGTGTGATTTAGTTTCGTGACATTACAACATCTTCCCATCTTCATTTATTTGAGTAAACACCATAGTTAAAATTGGAATAGAAGTTACTTAAATAAATTTAAACAAAATACCAGCAGTAACAAAAAAAAATTGAACACAAATTAGTTTATGCATATCTGCTAAGATACAAAAAAAAAAAACAAAACAATAAAATGTAGGTAATGTACAGTACCAACAAATCGCAGCGTGTGGTGTACATTTACTTTTGTTTTCTAGTTCAATTTGATTGCAAATACTACTATCTTAGAAAAAGACCTCAAAATGGTGAAATTGGAGTGACTAATATTGAAATAAGTACATTCAAAAATCAATGTAAGTGACAGTACAGTGTGAGTATTTTGATATCAGTGTAAGTGATATTACAGTATGAGTATTTTGATATTTGCAGTAATAAAAGAAACGTTGAACATTTTTGTGACCGACAAAATATTTGTTATCCAATACTGTGTCGTTGTTTATCTTGTTTGTTAAGGATAGTACAGGACGTAGTAAATATTCGTCGAAGACGGTTTCGAAGTAAAAGGAAGGTAATCAAGTAATATTATTTGCATTTTACTGAGAGAGAGAGAGAGAGAGAGAGAGAGAGAGAGAGAGAGAGAGAGAGAGAGAGAGAGAGAGAGAGAGAGAGAGAGAGAGAGAGAGAGAGAGAGAGAGAGAGAGAGAGAATTTTCCTGCTCTCACCTAAGCAATTATTAGATTTCTTAAAACGTTGAAGTAGATTCGAAAGTTCTCGATTTCAAGACAACCGGGTGGTGGCAATTTTCCAATTGTTGACTCGACGCCGAGTAATTTGACCCGGCTTTGATAAGGGACTATAGATTATCTACTATCATAGAGATGTCACTCAACAGGGATAAAAGGTGGATGAGAAAATTTGACAAATTACCTTATAAACCTGCCTTTTGAACACCTACTATGAATCCGATGCAAACATTATTTGTACTTCTTTAGCAATTAAATAAAATTTCTTACTTCAATACTGCACTCAATGTCAAGGCTATTTGTATTTTATAAATCGTGACCGAAATTGTCGAATACAAATATAATACTCTAGAAATAAAAAAGAATTGAAAATCTAAACTGTAGTTATTAGGTCAATGTATTGTATTATATAACAGTAGGCTGGTTGGCTGTTAGAGTATTTAGTTGAATTTTAAGGGCGCTTTCAAAACATTACAGGCTGGTCTAGGCGGATATCCAAATTCCACAGAAGATGATGATTAGGATAAAGTGCGTGTATCAGTGTGTGTGTGTGTGTGTGTGTGTGTGTGTGTGTGTGTGTGTGTTTAGGTGTGATTTGGATTTTTAAAGTAGCTTTTAAAAATTTCAATTATATCGCTAAGATTTAAAGTGATGTCTAGCACTGGGGCATCATGCCGCAGACATTTAGCATCATTTTCCTACCCAGTCACATTTATAAGTCAGAGGCATTACTCAGCTGGGGTTTGAACCCACGACCTGCCTCAACCGAGGCGGACGCTCTTTGTCTTTGTCTGGGACTCTGTCCGGCCATCTTATCTTCGTCAGCTTCTACAGACAGCCATTGTGAAAATGATTCAGCAGTTTGGCATGGCGTATGTACATCTTCCAGGTTTCGTAAGCTTACCGCAGGGTTGGTAACAAAATTACTTTGCAGACCTCCAGTTTTGTTTTAGACTAAATCATCTGCGCTCCCACCCATTTACACCTACTCAGTCAAAGACTACACCTGATAGCAGCAGTTCAGTCGTTGGTGTCATCATCGATGTGGACTGCACTTGACAGAGATAGGTGAACATGTCCAGTGCCAAAAGTGTTTGGCCATTCACGGTGATAGGCAGGCTTAACACAAGGCTTTCCCGGTGTAGGATCATCACTTTTCTTAATACTGAATTTGAGACCCATGAGAGCCAGGGAATTATTCTTGTTTGGGTTCAAGTTTATAAATGAAGATTTGCAATTTATGTTTTCTTCAAATTACGTGATTGTTATTATTTTTTCTTTAATTAACCCTTTGCATGATTTTTGAGTTAGAGTTAGATATGTGTTGACTCTGACTTGACTGGTACAATCGTGAAAATCACAATTTCAGAAAATATGGCCTAACTATGGGTCAAAAAGTGGACAATAAACTATGAAAGAAACCTGTCATTTTCGTCCTCATTGCCATACAATAGATAGGAAAATATTTAGAAAATTAGGGTCACGAATGCTAACTACAAATAATTGAATTGATAGCTGAGAATGTGAAGTCCACTTTGCCCTGTCTGTGAGAGAGAGAGAGAGAGAGAGAGAGAGAGAGAGAGAGAGAGAGAGAGAGAGAGAGAGAGAGAG